TACTCTGTCCTCATCACTCCCTGACACACTGGCCTGTTTCATTCACTGACAGCACTTATCCCTATCTGGAATTCTTGATCATTTTGACTGATATTCTTGGTAATTTCTTCGTTTGTTTCCTGTCTGTCATCGAGTGTGAGCTCCACATGGGTGGGAACTGTGTCTGTTATGTTCCCCACCATGTCCCTGCCTCTGGAATAGCCCATGGCATGTCATTGCAAATGAGACATCCTCTCCTGCACCTGTCTAATTCTACCACTCCTCCAGGAAAGCCCTATTTTCCCAGCCCACACAATCTCTGCCTCATCTGACACCTGTTCAACAAAGAGAAAATTACCCCAGCAACTCCTTTTCTCTTATGATATCACTTTCATATAGTTTATGTGGACACTAGACTATATACTCTTTCAGACCGGGCGCAGTGGCTCACGCCTGTAATCCCAGCACTTTGGGAGGCTGAGGCGGGCAGATCATGAGGTCAGGAGTTCGAGATAGCCTGGCCAACATAGTGAAACCCCGTCTGTACTAAAAATACAAAAAGTTAGCCAGGCGTGGTGGCAGACATTCCAGCTACTCGGGAGGCTGAGGCAGGAGAACAGCTTGAACCCGGGAGGCGGAGGTTGCAGTGAGCTGAGATTGTGCCATTGCACTCCAGCCTGGGCAACAAAGTGAGACTCCATCTCAAAAAAAAATTACTCGGGCGTGGTGGCGGTGCCTGCAATCCCAGCTACTCGGGAGGCTGAGGCAGGAGAATGGCTTGAATCTGGGAGGCAGAGCTTGCAGTGAGCCAAGATCGCGCCATTGCACTCCAGCCTGGGCGACAGAGTGAGACTCCGTCTCAAGAAAAAAAAAAAAAAAAAGACTATATACCCTTTCAATATCAAAAACATGCATCTGACATGCTGCTTCTTTATCTTCCCAGTTCTTGCCAGACCTTGCACATTGCTGTAAACTAGACAATTCAATAATGGCTGTGTGATTGTTCCCTTATTTCATTATTATCTCATTCTTTAGTCTTTCATAGTGCTCCCCAATATTCTAATAACCTGAGAGCAGCAATTTAAGTCATAAGAATTGCCATTCTGGTAGCAAAAGCCTTAGTGATTGTTTGAGTTTTCACTAAAGCAGCATTATCGTCAACAACCGTAAATAATTAGGTGCCCCTATTCTTTTAAGGCACTGAGCTGGGCCCAGAAATAGAGATCCAGGGCAGCAACAAAGCTTAACGGTTAGGATTTCAGAGTCAGGCTTGAGTTTAAGTTCCAGTTCTGCCATTTATTAACAACTTAATTTTGGATTATTACTTAATCCTTCAAGCTTCAATTTCCTCATCTGTAAAATGGGAAAAATAATAGTGCCAACCACATAGGGTTGTCATGAGGCAGTATGTGTGATGGTTAAGAACATGCACTCTAGGATCAGGTTATCTAGGTTCAGCCCCAGTTCTACCACTTACTAGGTATGTAACCTTGGACAACTAACTTATCTCCCCATGCCTCAATGTCCTCATGTTTCAAATAAGGATAATAACAGTATCTGGGCCACGTGGGATGGCTCACGCTTGTAATCCCAGCACTTTGAGAGGCCAAGGCGGGTGGATAACAAGGTCAAGAGATCGAGACCATCCTGGCCAACATGGTGAAACCCGTCTCTACTAAAAATACAAACATTAGCTGGGCGCGGTGGCTCACGCCTGTAATCCCAGCACTTTGAGAGGCCCAGGTGGGCAGATCACCTGAGGTCAGGAGTTCAAGACCAGCCTGACCAACATAGAGAAACCCCGTCTCTACTAAAAATACAAAAGTAGCCGGAGTGGTGGCGTATGCCTGTATTCCCAGCTACTCAGGAGGCTGAGGCAGGAGAATCGCTTGAACCCGGGAGGCGGAGGTTGCGGTGAGCCAAGATCGCGCCATTGCACCCTAGCCTGGGCAAAAAGAGCAAAACTCCATCTCAAAAAAAAAAAAAATTAGCTGGATGTGGTGGCGTGCTCCTGTAGTACCAGCTACTTGGGAGGCTGAGGCAGGAGAACTGCTTGAACCCAGGAGGCGGAGGTTGCAGTGAGCCAAAATCATGCCACTGCACTCCAGCCTGGCGACAGAGTGAGACTCCATCTTAAAAAAATAAAAAATGACAGTATCTGCCTGACAGGGTTGTTGGAAGGTTAAAATGAGTTAATTCCTATAAAGTATTAAGAATAGTGCCTGGCCATATGGATACCATTCATGAACTGTTAGCTATTATCACTATATGTCATCAATTCTAGGATAGGCTTTTTTTTTTTCAAATTTTACTAACTCTAAAATCAGGATGTATATTTCAATATTTACTACCACTATTAGCCATTCTCCTTACATTTTAACATCTCTGAACCTAGGATGCTCCATATTGCTCACAGCATCTTAGAGTCGGTGCGCTGAACACACTGCCTGGCCTGTGGAAGACACTCAATATTTACATAACGAATGGAAGTCTACTGATCTACAGAGGTCTGTTTTCTACAATCGCTGTAGACAGATACTGAAAGAAATAGATTCAATTTCTTCAGTTATGCAATTCCTCTACTACTGAAAATAAATATATCCTAAAAATATATATATTCTAAGGCTGGGCGCAGTGGCTCACGCCTGTAATCCCAGCATTTTGGGAGGCCGAGGCAGGAAGATCATGAGGTCAAGGCGATTGAGACCATCCTGGCTAACACGGTGAAACCCTGTCTCTACTAAAAATACAAAAAAGTTGGCTGGGTGCGGTGGCTCACACCTGTAATCCCAGCACTTTGGGAGGCCAAGACGGGTGGATCATGAGGTCAAGAGATCAAGATCATCCTGGCCAACATGGTGAAACCCCGTCTCTTCTAAAAATACAAAAAATTAGCTGGGCATGGTGGTGCAGGCCTGTAGTCCCAGCTACTTGAGAGGCTGAGGCAGGAGAATTGCTTGAACCTGGGAGGTAGAGGTTGCAGTGAGCCGAGAACACGCCACTGCACTCCAGCCTGGTAACACAGCAAGACTCCACCTTAAAAAAAAAAAAAAAAAAATTAGCCAGGCATAGTAGCACATGCCTGTAGTCCAGCTACTTGGGAGACTGAGGCAGGAGAATCACTTGAACCTGGGAGGCGGAGGTTGCAGTGAGTTGAGATCACGCCACTGGGAGAGCAAGACTCCATCTCAAAAAAAAAATATATATATATATGTGTGTGTGTGTGTGTATATATATATTCTAAACAATGCTTTCTCAAGCGTCTAAACACACAGTGACTTGCCAAAAATTCTCCCTTCTTGTTGAGTTTTGTTTTTATTTTTTCTTGAGATGGAGTCTCGCTGTGATGTCCAGGCTGGAGTGCAGTGGTGTGATCTCGGCTCACTGCAACCTCTGTTTCCCAGGTTCAAGCTATTCTCCTACCTCAGTCCCAAGTAGCTGGGACTACAGGAACATGCCGCCACGCCCGGCTAATTTTTGTTGTATTTTTAGCAGAGACAAGGTTTCACTGTACTGGCCAGGCTGGTCTCGAACTCCTGACCTCAAGTGATCCACCTGCCTTGGCCTCCCAAAGTGCTAGGATTACAGGCATAAGTCACCACACTGGCCTTTATTTTTATTTTTTGAGACAGAGTCTCACTCTGTCACCCAGGCTGGAGTGCAGTGGAACGATCTCGGGTCACTGCAACCTCCACCTCCTAGGTTCAAGAGATTCTCCTGCCTCAGCCTCCTGAGTAGCTGGGACTACAGGCAGATACACACCACTACTCCTGGCTAATTTTTTTTGTGTATTTTTTAGCAGAGACAGGGTTTCACCTTGTTAGTCAGGCTGGTCTTGAACTCCTGACCTCAAGTGATCCACCCGCACTGGCCTCCCTCCTAAAGAGCTAGGATTATAGGCATGAGCCACTGCGCCCAGCTTTATATACATCAACTTTTATGGATGTAGAAAAACTTGGCTACTTATGCTATTTATTTTGCTAGTAATTTACTATCACACACATATTTTAAGTCACATATAAAATACATGAATATTGATATAGTGCTTTTTTCCACTACCCAATTTCATAAAAACAATTTTATTTGAACTCTTCATATATATCTTCAACATCAGTGTCTTCTTCATCACAAAAATAGTTTATCGATCTAAAAAGTTTCCATAGCACATCATCTTCAGTGTGGCCCAAATTGTGAGCTAACATACCATCTAAATCATCTATGACGCTGTCACTAAAATTCTTTTCCAAGTCATAAGTAGTCACTCATGTGACAATAGGACAGTTGTTTTTTATTTGTCCTCTAGGTATAGCGTGATTTGAAAAATCCAACACTTGCTGTATTGCTTTCTTAGTGAGATATACAAGGTTCATCTGTCCTGACATCAAACACAACCATGAGGTCAGACCCCCAGGAACAATGTGCTCAATGAGGGCCAGCAGGCTCTCCTTTTCTCCTGTTGCCCTCAGGGGACCTCTGTAAGTATCTGAAACCAGCCCTGACTGAGGTCACCTCAGGCAAACATGCTGTCTTCAACAGTGCTTTATTGTTCAGAAGAAAGGAAATGAATGAGCATCATGGAAAATGGCAGGAGCTTCCCTCACATGCAGGCGACTACTCTGGAGGGAAAGCTTTGCCTGAAGAGGCATGGAACAGAATGTCGAGCAACAGCAGATCTGGGGAGCTGAGAGGCCCCCTGAGCCAGCGGGCCTGTGGCACACATGCCCATGGCGGGGCTGGTTGCGGCGCTCTGCAGCAGAGCTGCCCCTGCTGCCTCCCGCCACCCTCCCCCAGATCACATGGGCACCCAGAGGGCCTGGGACTTCCTTTCTTGTTTGCAGTCATGTTCTGAGTAGACAAGCCGTCAGGAAAATGCCTTCCCATGAGTGAAGTGGCACTGTACTGTGTATTATATATAACTATGGCACTATGATGACTAATGATGTTGAGAACAACTAAGCATATGTATGAATTAGAAGCCTTAAAAGAGGATCTTAGGTTAGCTTTCAAATTATTCCACGTACCTCTTATTAGCTCATAAATATTCATGTCCATAAGTTCACATATTAGTGCAAGAGAACCAGATTTTCTGTCACTGAAGAAGAAAGTAAGTTTTTAAAATAAATTTTCTGGCCTTAATCAGAAAATACAATCCAATATTTAATCCATTTGTAAACATTTCTAGTAAACATAAGGCACTCCCACATCAAATACTACAGTGTAATTGCTGAAACAGTAAAGGTTCTGATTTCAAATCAGTATTTCAGGTAAAATTAATTAAAAATACTAGCAAAACCCAACTTTGAACAAAATTCTAAAAGTCGAAAATATATATGTCTTGAAAATACATAATTAACTATCAGTAGAAAGAAGAAAAAGGCTGGGGAGTTGGGTAAGCAAAACAATGAGAGAGGCCAGGTGTGGTGGCTCACTCCTGTAATCCCAGCACTTTGGGAGGCCGAGGTGGTGGATCACTTCAGGTTAGGAGTTTGAGGCCAGCCTGGCCAACATGGTGAAACCCCATCCCTACTAAAAATACAAAAGCTGAGTGTAGTGGCGGGCGCCTGTAGTCCCAGCTGCTCGGGAGGCTGAGGGAGGAGAATAGCTTAAAGCCAGCAGGTGGAGGTTGCAGTGAGCCAAGATCGCACCACTGTACTCCAGCCTGGGCAAAAGAGTGAGACCCTGTCTCAAAAAAAAAAAAAAAAAAAAAGAAAAGAAAAGAAAAGAAATTAATTCGTGCTCCGTGACTGCAAATTAAATTTTAATTTAGCTAAATTCTTTCCATGTAATTGGGATAAATCACAATGGGAGAGTAACAACCAAAAACCAGTCAGGGGAAAAAGAGAAAAACGAGTCACATCACAAGTGTGTGATATCAATGCTGACACAGAATGGGGACAGAGACTGCTGGCTGAGCCACCAACTTCTCCTGAGTTCAAGCAGGCCTTTAAAGGGTTCCCAGAGTCCTTTAGCGGGAGCCTGTATCACCCCAGACCCTACTCTGGGTGCCTCCAATCTGGCAGAAAGGGGTCTTGGTTGTTTGGAGGCCCACGTGAGATTCTGGACAGAGTGCTGTGGAAAGTGTGTGGGAAGTGCATGACGTGCATGCAGTGTTGACACTATGACATACTAACTGCAGTCTCTGGACCTGGCCCAAACTGACTTCTAAGAACGCTACAGGCCAGGAAGTCACACAGTTATAACAAGACATTTCATTTTGAGTTTAAAACTGTTCCATTCTCTGATTAAAATCTACTAGACTTTAACTGGCAGTGGACTTTAACTGGAGTTCCTTGGTCGATCTTACAGGCCAGTCTCCCTCCGGAGCCACAGCGAAGCTTCTACACCGAGGGGCACCCTCTCAGAGTGGCGGTGCCATTCTAGCCCACAGCAAAGAAGGTCCCCAAATCCTGTAGTCTGACTCCCTGGCTCAGTGAGGTCTGTAAGCACAGCACAGAGTTGTCAGGAAGAAGGCCTTCCAGGCTCAGGCAGGCACTGAGGGACAAGCTGTGCTCTGCCTTCTTGATTGATAGATAAGCCTTCTGGAAACTACTCTATAATTAGAACAGAAATGAAAAATCCCCAGAAATGTTATCAATTACAGTAAGAAAGGCTACAGGAGACTGTTCAGAAATGGCAACTGGCAGGGACAGAGTGAGAATGTACAATCCCTGAAATAACACAACAGTGCTTTCCCAATAGGTCAAAATTCACACTCAAGACCTCAGCAGCCTAACTGAGCTCCAGGAGATGAACTGTTTGCATGATGGATGCTTTTATGATGTGGAGTCACCTAAGTGAAGGCATTTCCACATTAAGAATCAGATGCTGGCCGGGCGCAGTGGCTCATGTCTGTAATCCCAGCATTTTGGGAGGCCAAGATGGGTGGATCACCTGAGGTCAGGAGTTTGAGACCAACCTGGCCAACATGATGAAACCCCGCCTCTACTAAAAATACAAAAATTAGCCGGGCGTGGTGGCGGGTGCCTGTGATCCCAGCTACTCAGGAGGCTGAGGTAGGAGATGGCTTGAACCTGGGAGGTGGAGTTTGTTGTGAGCCGAGATTGCGCCACTGCACTCCAGCCGGGGTGACAGAGAGAGACTCCTTCTCAAAAAAATTTTAAAAAAAGAATCAGATGCACATTTTTCCAAATAAAAATGTGATATAAGATGAAGTAAAAATGGTTACTCTCTGAGCTACAAAGCAAATATTCAAAATGTCTACCATGGTTTTCTTCCTTAAAAAAAGATTATTTTCATCAAATTTAGATAACTTTTCAAGCTCCAAATATACTTACAAAACCACTTCATGCAACGTAAGAATGTTTGGGTGCGGATTCAGGCGCCTCAGTGCTTGGATCTCTCGTAGGTTGTTGACTTGCTCAATACTATCGTGTAGGTAAAAATGGATAGCTCATTCACAGTTTAGGTCAACTTCAAAATTAGAGTTACTTATTATCCAGGATCACAATTTTAAAACTCACAAATATTTCAAGCAAATTAATCAGCTTTTATATCTCCCATTAGAAGCTGAAGTTAAGCTATACCTCACTGCTGCATTAAAAAATCAAGGTTCTTATAGCTAGAACATATGTTAAAATTTTTCCCATCTAAGATCCTGAAAGAATACTTGGTAGTTTATTTTACAGATTAACAAACATAAAAACAGACATTAAAACTTATGATTAAATTTATTAGTAAGATTAATAATTAAGATTTAGTCTTCAGTTTACAGATACACTATCTGAAAATGAGCATTTCAAAGTTCCAAGAAAAGATCAATCTCTCTTTTTTTTGAGACAAAGCCTCACTGTCATCCAGGCTGGAGTGCAATGGTGCAATCATGTCTCACTGGAGGCTCAGGTGATCCTCCCACTTTAGCTTCCTGAGTAGCTGGGACCACAGGTGCATCCCACTACGCCCTCTCAAACTCCCAGGCTCAAATGATCTGCCCGCCTCAGCCACCCAAAGTACTGTGATTACAAGTGAGAGCCGCTGTGCCCGGCCTCTTTCTTATCTTTAATGATGCTGTACTTTTTTCAATTGCTTTTTTTTTTTTTTTTGAAACAGAGTTTCCCTCTTGTTGCCCAGGCTGGAGTGCAGTGGCGCGATCTTGGCTCACCACGACCTCCGCCTCCCGGGTTCAAGCAATTCTCCTGCCTCAGCCTCCTGAGTAGCTGGGATTACTGGTGCCTGCCACCATGCTCGGCTAATTTTTGTATTTTTAGTAGAAATGGAGTTCACCATGTTGGCCAGGCTGGTCTCAAACTCCCGGCCTCAGGTGATCTACCCACCTTGGCCTCCCAGAGTGCTGGGATTACAAGTGTGAGCCACCACACCCGGCCCTCTTTTCCATTTCATTCACCTGGTGACAAGCACTCTCTGGGCAGGTGTGTCTTATTGCAGGCTCTTCTTTATGAAGACGGCTCTGCCAATACAAATCATGTCAATACAGTGCAATCAGGTCCAAGGCCTGAGGCTGGCTGTCACTGCCCTCTAGACAGACCTCTTTTGAGAATGCCACTTCACCACAGTAGGCCTATGAGGTCACACCTAATTGAATAATTCAATTCACCAGAAACTGTCATCTCAGGCTCCAAAAGGAACTAATTGTGGGACTACTTTTTCAATTGGCAAATTCTGTTCTATCAACTTTAACATATAGTGGAAAGCTCAACATTTTGTTTGGTTATTTGAAGAGTAGTTTTACCCAGCAGTATAGGTGTAGTTTTAAATCAATATGGCTGAGGCTGGGCGTGGTCGCTCACGCCTGTAATCCCAGCACTTTGGGAGTCCAAGGTGGGTGGATCACCTGAGGTCAGGAGTTCCAGACCAGCCTGGCCAACATGGTGAAACCCCATCTCTACTAAAAATACAAAAATTAGCTGGGCACAGTGGCATGTGCCTGTAATCTCAGTCACCTGGGAGGCTGAGGCAGGAGAACGGCTTGAACCCAGGAGGTGGAGGTTGCAGTAAGCCAAGATTATGCTGTTGCATTCCAGCCTGCCCAACAGAGTGAGACTCGATCTCAAATAAATAAATAAATAAATAAATAAATAAGTCTGAATATTTTAAGTCACTCTCATGTTAGCCAACAAATAGAAACCTGATATTTAAGAAAAGCCTGAAAACAGAATAGCCTGAAGAGTCTAAGAATATTTCAGACTAAAAGTTCTAGCCCTCATTTTCATTACTATCCTGTATTTCCTCCCTCACATCCAAGTTGGTATTCAAAGTGTTAACAGCTCGCACCCCAGATCCACAACCAATCAGAAAAGACACAGCTGACCATGCTGGAGCCAGATCCTCAAGGTGGCCAGAACTAGGGAGTGCTGAACAAGGGGGCCAGGTGACACTCAGGAGTGTCAAGACAGCAGCTATTTACCAATGAATACAAATCATTCAATATTCTACAACACACAGAACAGAAAAAAAATAATAATTCCAGGCCAAAATGCCAACAGTGTTGAGACAGAGAAATCCTGCTTCAGGTGGAAAGAGCTAACAAGCTAGCAATAGTTCCAATTTTTGAACACCCAATCCGAAAAACTTAGGTTTTAGAACTGGGCAGCCAAACAGCCATACTATTTAGACAAATATCCACTCTTCTCATCTCTAATAGGAAAATCAGTTATCACACGCCAAAACATATTTTGCTTACTGGAGACAGGATTCTTTCATATCTCCACAGGCATTCACTGAGAAATAATGAACTAAGACAAACATTTAGAAAGGCACATTTTCCTGGATATTGCTAGATACCAGGATCTAGCAATTGTTCAAATAACAGTGATTAATAAAATTCAAATCAACTCTGTCCCCTCTATTAAAATCATGAAAAAAAAAAAATCTAAAAAAACCTGGAAGTAACTACTTTTCTTTGCCTTGGAGTTGCTTTGAATTTTGTGCTTAGGTGACATTCAGTTTGTTTTTGTTTATTGTTCTGTTGGAAACAAAATATCACAGAATTGAACGTAAGAGGAATGCAGGCAGCCTTTGCTCCAAAAAGAACCAGATGACGGCCGGGCGCGGTGGCTCACGCCTGTAATCCCAGCACTTTGGGAGGCCGAGGCGGGCGGATCACGAGGTCAGGAGATCGAGACCATCTGGCTAACA